AGGTATTTCTCGATGAATATGCATGTTTCTGCTTTGATTGCGGACCTTATGAGAATGGCTTACATCATCCGTCCTACCTTGCCGGGACATAAACACGCCTCTCACCTCTGATGGAGGGGTCTGTACCTGCTCTCCCTCTCTGACATACACATGCACAGTGTGTGACAGTAGACAATAGGGAGGGTGTCCGCATAGGCGCGATCACGGGAAAAGATGCTGTAATCTAACAGGTAGAGCTCGGTGCTGTCGCCTAGCAACTCGCTGGATACAGTACGTTAATACAGGCGCACCTGGATTTGCACAATGCAAGACATTAGTTATGTGCAGCGAAAACGGGCGGTTATTTGTGATCCAACGTACTTGGCTGTGAGTGTCAGACGGACGCAGGTGCTGAGATTACCTGCATGACCCCGGGGAAAGCAAACGAAGTGGTGCGTTTCTTTATGCGGGTGTCTGTGAAAGAGCCCCTGCGTGCGTGTGCCCCCCTCAAACCTCTCGTCTAATTTGTATTCTCGCGAAGAGAGCATGTTTGACGGGAGGGAACGCCGCTGGCGGAGTTTATAGCCATCCTGTCATAACGGAATGGAACGACAGCACCGTTAACTTGCGAGTGGAACGCAAAGGTCACGTTGCACCTTTATGACCGGACAGACATGAACGCTATAAAACCTTCTGCACAGCTGCCCCCTTTTCTCTCTTATATACGCTCACACATACGCAAAGTTTGAGCTCGCGGTCACTTACCTCTGTGAAAACTCAACGCCAAACTCAGAAGCAGCAGCAGTCCCTGCATGGTTCAAATCTCCGCATGGGGAGCGTCAAAATCCCTCCGAAGGTGGATTATAATCCTTCCATTCACGTGTTAGCTGTGTATTGCCCCTTTTCGCCCCCTGCACTACTTTTTAGCGCATTTCTAGTCGTTTTTCTTTAGCCGTTCCCTCTTTTGCCCTCCTCTCTTGCGACGCTCCGGTTTCTTATTAGTGGCACATTCCTTGATCATCTCTCTCTCTCTCTCTCGCTCTCTCTCGCTCTCCCTCCCTCCCTCTCTCTCTCCCTCCCTCTCTCTCTCTCTCTCTCTCCCTT